TGAAAATTGACGGCACGATGAGAGGGTAGTAGTATCAGAACATGACGGCCGACACACGGTGTTGCCGCGGACACAGCATCACATGCCAGCAGGACAGATCCTGCAGCAGGGTCTCGATCCAAAACGCTTCTCAATAGTTGTGAAGGCGGCCTTCAGCTAATAGCGAACCATATTTCTGGAGAAATCAAGTCGGTCATGGGATTTGAATCCTATAGAACATATGTGGGGAGCGCTCAAAATGCGTTTTTCGAGCAAGCTTTGTGAAGAAAAAGCGAAGAAAAATTCGCAAACTAATGGACTCGATGACGATTTGCGATGCCATCATCAAAAGTCGAGGCATTCCCACCAAATATCGATGTTTTTGTTTTATATGTTGCTAGTCCGAAATAGAGCAGTTTTACTAGGTCGATGCTATTTCTATTTCCCATGATTTTAAGTTAAAACTCACTGACGTAGTGTGAACAGTAGCAAATTGCATTTCAATAGCCGTAAGTATTCATGATATGCTTTTGATTAACATACTAAAATTCCGTATGATTTTATGAAGTAGGAAAAAGTTACAATTGGAAAAGCGTTCCACCGAAGACTTTTGGCCGCTACTGTAGGTGAGAATTATGTGTTCAAATAGAACATGGTTCGTAAAAAATAACCTGCCGATAGTTTCAATGACAGCCAGAAATCAACAGCAAACGACATCTTGCATGCGACAGACACAGAGCACTTCGCGAGAAAACAAGAAAAATTCTTTAACACGTCGACGACAACGCGGGACAGTTGTGTCCCGTGTCCTGCAGGCCACGTGCGACAGCGCGGGACACATGTGTCTCATTTCGCAATTTTTTCTGTCGCATGTGTGGTTTTTTAATGTTTTTGAGTTTATATTACAGATCGTGTAGTAAGAAAGCCTTAAACAGAATGGTCCATAATTATCAGATATGCTTCATCTTCACACAGGTTTTCTTCTCACAAAGTTTTGGGCCTTCTTCAGACTCCGACATTTATATTGAGATCAACAAGCATGGAAAATGAACACATTGAAAGCAAGCTATCGAATGAATGTTTTCTCATTTCATCAGCGCTGGTTTCTTGAAATTCTTCATTTTGTCGAATTCCGTGGCGGTTGGTTTCTCTAAAGATGAGTTCCAGAATCTCTTGATTCAGATACAGTTCGTAGAAGTCTTTTGGCTCTTGGCAGTCATAAACAGCATCAAGTAAGCCGGAGAAACCACTAGAAGTCCATACATCGCGCAGCGGGTATCGCTTGACCATGAAGAAATGCTTTCACTATCAGATTGCTCTTTTTATGATTTAGATTTCATATCTTTTTCCATATGATCTACTTCTTCTTCAGTAGCTCCTTGCTCTTCGTCGTCCGAAATGTCAGAAGATGGTCGAGTTGTGAAGTAATTTCTAGGTCTCTTCTATTTCAGCCATTTGTGCGCCTATATAAGCATTTATTAAAGCGGAATATTTTTGTATAGAACACTTCTGTGTGTTTTTTCATTTCATTAATCAACTTACTAAGAGGCGATAAGTTGTTAGAAGTAAGTTTCACATTCAAGCTTTGAAAAGCGCGCCTCAAGAGACAACGTGGGACGTATGTGTCCCGCTGTCGCTGCCGCAAAATTGCTTTGGTCCTACGCCGCGAAAAATGTCCGAACGCGCGTTGTCGTCAACCGTTTTACTATGGTCCAGGTGAAAGTGGAGAAAAGCTTTTACATACAGCTTACAACCACACCCCTTTGGGGAAAAGGGGAAAACGTTATATGTAGGCTTGGGTAGGCATTGCCACTTATCTGCCTCCTAGAACTGCACGCAGCACCTCTAACAAGGAAGGATACTTGATCGCAGTGGCCATCCAAGATGAGATGAGGACCGACGTAGGTGGTTCCAAACGCTGATCTCAAATCCCGGTCCTAAATCCGCCAAATGATTATGGGAGCAAGGTCACGGGACCACTTCCTCCCTGTGTTATACCACTGTACTGAACGGTCACAGAAATTACCAAAGCCGTGGATCAAGGTCGGCTCCTTGATGCATGCGCTCGTTTCACTTTTCCATGAAATGCGTCCCAAAAGCTTGCAAAACCTTTTTGGCTCAACATGACTGCTTTCATAGTCCGTCGGCCGGCGTGCCGGAGGCAGTGCTAGGGGGGGGGGGGGGGCAGGGAGGCAGACAGTATAAGGCAAGCAGTTCACGCCCATCCAAAGGTTGTTTGTTTTCAACCCCTTGAAGGGGCGTGGACTGTTTGCCTATCTGTCTGCCTCCCTCCTCCCCCCTAGCACTGCCTCCGCCGGCACGCCGGCCGGCCGGCCGGCGGACTATGAAAGCAGCCTATTGGCCATGTACGGAGCTAACTCACATTTTGTAATACTGAAAAGGTATTACAAGAAAACTTTTTGTTACAGCTCCGAGACGACGTACTTTATTGAGCACAAGACGACAACTGACATAGGCACCATAGGAATAGGCTTTTATAGTCAAGTATCCCACAGCAGTGATTAACAGTGTGAATGTACAGCCAATTAGTTTATCACTAGTCAAACCCATGATAGTTAGAATACGACCGCGGAACAGTCTTCTACATCACATCCCCCCTAAGAAGAAATAGTGGGAGTAAAAAACAGCGACAACATCCATTTAATCACAAATGGCCGTTCTTCTTCGTGTAGGACTTTTGCCTTGACTTGAAATCCGCCCGGCGGTCGAAGGAATTCTGTGGACTGGGTCGATGGTCGAGCAGTTAGGTTCGGAGTGTCGTTTTTCAATAATGACGAGCTTTTGTCGGAAACAGGCGTGGCGGTTTGATTCGGCACCGTCCGGTTTGGACAGTGTGGCGGTGATTCAACGGCATCCAACAGTGTCTCTTGTTGTTTTCTTTGCTTGAACTCGGTTGATAAGAAAAGTTTATTCCGGCTAACTTTTCGGCGTAGATCGCCTTTTTCAGAGCCGGGAACGATCGAAGCAATTTATGATTACCCGATCAAACGCATCAACTACCTTACAGGAATTCGAGACCTCAGAGATCATCACGCAATTGTAAGTTGGGCCACTTACCGTTGATCAGTCCGATCCTCGCACCCACCTATAAGCCAACAGCGGTCCAGTAAGCCCTTCGGACTGCATGTTATTCAGAATCACTAGTATAGGCCAACCTTATATACGGCCTCAGCTCCCGCGGGATTGTGATACACTCTTCCTTCCGGTTCATTTTTGGTCTAGACCTGAATCCAGAACGCTTCGAGGGTTTTTCGTGCGGGTGTTTGCGATTCCCGTGCCAAGACCGCCGTGACCTTGAAGTCGGCTCCATAATGAGTTTATACCCTGTGGGAGCCTAAGGCAGTTGACATGCGTGACCTGGCCTTGCCCTCTAAGTGCCCCTTGATGCGTACGCATAGCGGTCTTGATGTTTCGCCGATATATACCTCTCCACAACTGCAACATGTGATCTTGTAGACCACCCCTGCGATTGCATAGTCGCCTTCCTTGCCGTTGGGCAGACCACACAGTTAGGGGTGGTACATAAGCGATTGTAGAGCTGACTGCGAACCA